TAGGCGTTTGCCGTGAAAGGTGTTTAGTGCACGGTGAATGGACGAGTAGAGAGACGACTTATTATTATTACTATTATCATTATTATTATTATTATTGTGTCGAAGAATGACGAGACGATGACGAACGACGAAATATTTCAACGGTTTTATTATGTAAGAGTTCGAACCGTTGCATTATAAGAACCTTGTTTTGTGCGTATGCCGCGCGGTAATCTTCTAGTCCAAGATATCTATTTTCCGTCTTCGTTCTGCTATTTGGAATTTTCCCATGTGTGAGGGCACCTCCTCGGAATTTGTTTACGTTAGTGTGTTATCGAGCAATGTTAAACACCTACACCCAATGCCTTACTGAATTGTATTTTTGGCCAAGAATCGTCGGATAGGCACCGCCGCTGCTGCACGTGACGATTCAAAACGTTATTTGTTTACGCCGTGACTTATAATAATATCATATCGTTTCATTACCATTTCGATCACGAATTACCTAAGTCGAGCGCAAAACAAAAACTATAAGCAAAAGATTGGGCGTGGGACGTGATCGGAATGATTATTTCCGGCAACAGCAAATGATAGAAAACCGTTCGGCCGCGGTTGAAAACAAAACATTGTATATCAATATATAATAATGACGTTGATTCTCAATAATAATTTGTCACAGGCAAAACTAATGTATCAATTGACAATGCCAGTTTACCAATGCATAGTTCTTGAATCTGAAATTCAAAACAACCAACGTCGAATCAAGCATTATCTGATATTATATATATATATATATATATATTACAATCTGTGGCAATACATAATGGTATTAATAATAATCAAATATCGGTCTTGGATCGAGTGTCCTATTCCTTGATCGTGTGTGTCTTACATTAACAACAGTTGAGGGCTTTTTATGAAAATAACAAAAAAAAAACCACGTTGACCTAAGGATTATATTTCGTTGTGGCACGAAAGCGAACAAAAGCGATTAACGGCGGTTGTTGATGTATTTAAACCAACATGGAGTCTAAAATCTAGGAAAACAAAATTATTTAATAATACACGACGAACTCTTTAACTTCATTTTAGAAGGCAAGGTGTTGGGTAAAGGACTAGGCGTGTCTGTTCTTATTATGACATAATATAGCAAATGATCGAGTTATCAGAAATCGAAGGAAGCTGCTAATGACTGGCACAAAAATAGCGCTTCAACGACAATATCAAGCGTCAAATACGATCAAAAGATGTACCACTTAGATCATTGGATCCTCAACCGGTATCTTTTAAACGATTAAAACGCGCGTTTAATATGATATTATTTTTGGTTTGAAATCCAAATGATGGATTTTACTCAGTCAAATATAATTACTCTATAGCGTGACTTTTGTGTAATAAATCTGCTTGAAGAATGTCTAGAGATTGATCAAGCCTAACGCCAGTACTGGATTTGGACATTTTAAAGCCATGCAGGAGCAAAACTGCAGAGGGTAGATCATTTCTGCTACTGCGTTTACACACCTCCCAAACGTTTATCTTGACTTATTATGTAATGGACCCTTGGCATTATAAGCAGTGGCTTGTGTTCGAAATGGTATTGTAACTCAGAATAATAACAAAGACTTTCTTCGTGGCAGTGGTGGAAGCATGGAAAGTTTGCTGTACTCGTCCGTGTGTTTATTGCCTAAAAATGACGACATTCATGTAAATAAATACTTTAACTTGTCAATACTCAATAGTTTAACGTTTAAAAGATCAAAATTAAGTATAATAATCAAATTATAAATAGTCGTTCAAATATATTTACGAGGCGAGTGTTTAAAAAAAATATGTTATTCTGTTTTGTTTACATATCGGTGGTCCTTCTTTGGTAAGCTCTGGAGACGCCCTTGCATTAAACAACAATATTTACTCACCATTATAGTTTATACCAACACTTATATTTAGATTATAAAAAGTTATTTATAATTTACGTTTAATAGCCGATTCAAAATATGTCTGTTATTACTTTGTTGTTAAAAAAAAGACATTAGACATTACATTTTTTTTTTAATTATCTACAAAAATCGAATTATTGATAATTATTTATAATGTACCTACTGCAGCGTCGGAGAGGTCCATTCATGCGAGCTCCGTAGCATTTCCAACCCGTGTGAAGTTATGCAACCACGCGTGCGTTTTTTTTTTTTATTATTATTATTATGTTATCAATAATCGTCCGTCGCTGATCGCCAGGCTGTGCTTATGTGTGCATATATATATATTATAATATAATATATTTTTTTTATTATTATATTATATGTAGGTGAAGGGTTATCGTCATCGTCATCATCATCGACCTCATCTTTGTGTATAAAATATATGTATGTTTTTCTTCTCTTCTTTATTCATTCTTTTCTCGGCATTCCGGTGTTTAACTGGTTAAAATATACATAGACACACACACACACACAGACTTATCAATTGCCTCGACCGTGGCATACACACACACATGCGGTTCATTCACATGGACCACCGCCTCTGACGCCGACCGACCGTATGGGCGACCCGTTACACGACGGGCAACGTATCACGTTAACGGTGTCTCATGACTATATATATATTTTTTTTTATTACCCGTTAGTCCACCCCCTTCGTGTTGGTCCATGTTTGCTGGTCGAACCCATTGCCCGGGGGATGATCATTACATTCAAACCGTTGTTATCATAATAAAGTCTATCTTGTCTTCTTTCGGTGGTGACCATCTCGAATCAACCGTAGACGCAAACGACCGAAGTACGCTACCTACACTACACTACCCTTCGGGGCTATAACGATTTCAGTCGAAACACAATCGATCAGATCCGAGTAATGTGCCGGCTTAGCGTCGAACCTAAAAAAAAAAAAATGCGCTCTAGGCATTGAACTCGTTGTCTAAAAACACCGTGCCCGTCCCTCCATCCGCCCCAGGTAACGTTCGGTCGTTTCACGTTACCTTTTTTTTGCACCGCCAACGGTTATTTATAAAAGAAAACTGTTTTTATTTTATTTTCTATAATTTAAATTGCAGTCTAGATAAGGGCAAAAACACCATCGATCAGACCATAAAGTGATAGTCGGATTTTAAAGTCATTCGAAGGGACGGATTTTTAGGAATTAAAGTTAAATAAACTTCGCGTGGCTTAAAATGCGTGAGTTAAAACGTTGTACACCTAATTGTTCTAAAGAACGTGAAAGATTAAATGTGGTTTTGACTGTACTCGGCTCAAAGAGGTGTGATAGGATTAACGTCTCCTTGCGTGTTTTTTTTTACTGAACAAAACTCTCATATTTATTTTACCAACATCATTTCATAAGTAGTAGACTTTGAAAATACATTGTCGCGCCGTAGTGCTTGTGGTTTGAACTCATGTCTTTTAATACAATATCGTTGTACCGACAAATACATAACGATACTATCGCCTCGAGTCTGTGGCAATTAAATGAAAAAGTCAATGTTCGTTTTCAGAATATGGTGGAAGTGCCTATAGGGGTCCCACCAACGGTGGTGATACATTTTGGATGTCTCCACTGACAGTACGCTCATGTTATTTTTGCTCTCCGCTTTATCCATAACACGACCGTGTATGTTATTCCTGTTGCTATCCAGCAAAAAGGGTTTACACGTACATGGTGGTGGTATTGTGCGCAGACGGTCACCCCCACGACCGGCCTATCGTAACGGAGACTGTTCGGAGAAAAATTACCCAGTGCTCATAATAATAATATTATATTATTATGGGTCGATCGTCGTCGGCGACGGTGGGCACGTTGAACCGGGGCAACGAGATTTTTATCCGCCGCATTCCTCGCATTCCCAGAATATCTGTTCACTTGTTTCCATTCCGCTGTGCACACAAAACACACACATTCTGGAACGCGGGATCCTGCGGCTGCTGTTCCCAAAGGACCGCTCGACGATGCCAAATTATATTATTATAGTCATATTATTTTTAACCGATACACTACACATGAGTGGATGATTACCACACTTACCACTTGTTTCAAATTGTCATTACCACAAGAGGCATACACGAGAAAATACTTGTACATCGATGGCACAGTGCACAGGTGTAATGAGTGCAATTTTTTTAAGAAATCCAGTTATGCAACGTATTAGACGCCTTAAATAGTCTTCTACACGTTGTCAGCTAAATATTCGAATTTTCGTCTCTGAAACGCCATGCCAAGCTTAGTAAATACATAGAATAAATGTACATTATACATTTACAAACGTCGTTCTTGTAAATTGTAAACAACTATGACACCCGTTATACATTATTGGCTGATAATAAGAAATAATGTGTAAACACGTAAAGTTCTCGACATCTACCACTTCAACTACTCACCCTCCCCCCTTCCTCCCAACTAATGCTTGTCTTAATTCAAATTGACTATTTAAACAATAATATAGTCAGTGAACAACATAGAGCATCTTTCCATACTTTGTTCTTACTACACTGTGTTTAATATTGCCAATACCACCTTAACCGGTCAATTGGCGCCACCGAGGGAGCATCTTGGAGAACCCTTCTAAACGCTTCAATCCTCTACAGCATTTAAGTAAAGAAGACTTGCTTACTTGGGGGGTTATTTGAATTTGGTTTAACTGACATTTTTCAGAAGCTTTAAGGAGTTTTGAAGGATTTGAATATCCAATCTCTTTCTCTAAAAGATTGTCTTAGATGGCCTAGGCCATTTAGGATATTCGCGCTTGTATTTTGTAACACTCTAAGGACGATTTTTGATAAAGTGCTCTAAACATAACGTACTTAGAGGACCTAGTTAATGTAGGTGAATCGGTAGATAGTGTTCAACCGTACTTCTTTAAAAGCTTTGACCGCCGTTTTTCGCACATGCCAGCTGTTTTTTCTGTTATTACTACTTGTGTACTATATTAAGTGTATTATTACTACTTTGTCTGTCTAAATAATTATTTATTATTACTATTACTATTATTACTATTATTATTATTATTATTATTATTGTTCTTGTTGTTTTAGGAACCTTGCCATGGGAATCGGCATACAAAACTTTCCGGAAGGGCTGGCCGTCAGTCTACCGCTGCAAGCTGCCGGATGTTCCAAATGGAAAAGCTTTTGGTAAATACTACAGCCCTAGCCTTATTCTTACACTAGTAAACGCTCCCCTCGAGTGTTCAAAAGCGGTTCTTTTTTGTACATTTGGTCGTCGTCTCTTGTGACATTCTGAAAGCGGCTAAGGGTACGATAACCGTTTTTGTTTTTAACGTCATGTTCACATGCGCAGACCATTTCGACAGGCACGGCAAGTATACAGTCCGTGTGTTAAAACGGTGGACCGGTAAAAAAAAACCCATTTTTGTTTTCTCCGGTTTAAAACAACAACAACAAGCGTCGTACACCCGTCATTATGCATTGACAAAAATCGCATTGTACCTTATACACACACACACACACCGGGTCGGCCTGTGTCGTCGTATACACACGTTATACCTATATTGGAAAATAAACATTCTACAGGTCGCTTTTATGGAAATCCGGATTTCCGTCCCGCGGTGGGTTTCTACTTTCAAACGATATAATATGCCGACGACAATGCCATAAATCAAAAAGTCGAACGTTGCAAAAAAAAATACACACAATATATTGACTACATATCTATAGTTACATTTATCGGTATGTACGATTAAATCACACGGGTACGCCAATAAACGTAAAGAGAAAATCATTAGGTACGGTTATTATTAGACGGTATACAAAAATAATATATGTATGAACGCGACACGTTCGTTCCCCATGGGCAAAACAAAAAACGAAACCTACACCGAACGTAAGTCTCGATTGACATCGGCCGCAACGTCAAATGAAATCCTGTCGTCGCCATTTGTGTTTATATAATTATTATTTGTTATATTTTAAATCGAAAAACAACCAAAGACGGGCGACAATCGTTCGCCCTCGGTTATGTTAAACTCGAGGGGCTACCCAGGCCAGTGAACAACAACTGTCCGTGGGTCCAAGTAGGTATGGGGCAAAGTTTTGGGAATATTACGAATACGCAGTTGTCAGAACATTTGGTCGTTGATAATGCCAAATCAACTTTAATGATAAGTCGAGTATTATGTGTACCGGAATAAATCTGAAGACAGTAAGTAAAAAATACTCTTAAATGTATATATTTCGGTTTTATACGAAATGGGATGATGAGGGGGCAGACAATGGACATTGAGAACACTGGTTTCTGGTTGTTATTGGCTTAATTTACCATTTTGATCGATTGGGAAAAAAAAAATGATTCGCACAAGTGTAAATTAATTGACGCTATCACTATTGACATTGTGGCCCGGTAAACGTTATCAGCGTGTATCGTCATGTTGTGCAATTACATTTAGTCTAAAAATTAGTTTTGACTGTTAACATTTGTATAGAAGTATTATGTGCGCACTCGATAATCACAATGTATATAAAAAATTATAATATATTCAAATTTAACCATGTTTGAGTACTAATGTTTCTGATTAGTTTACTTTCAACAAATACAATAAATAAATACGGTCAGCAGGTACTATTTTAATTGAATAATTTAAATGGGTTAAAGATTGGGGGACTCGTTAATTTCTAATACAGTTAGTATACGATGATATTATTCAGAATACAAAAACCCAAAGAGATAACACTAATTCGCATGTTTTAAGTCGTTAACGAAAAAAATACTAAGAGATAGATAATAAAGTATTATTATCCAACGACTGTGTAGGATTTAAAAAACGGATCCTTTTTTTTTTTTGTATTTAAAATGCTGTATATTTGTCCATTTTCGTTTCAAATAAGATTATAACTTTTTTTAATTAATCAAATTAGTTCCAAATTTCTATAGAATGTTCTTTAGATAAAGTTCTGTCGATAAACGTTGACAAACCAAAAAAATATCCTAAAGTCTTTCTCTTAGAAGGGGTTGAAAGTTTTCCTTTGTTTTTCTTTTTCGAACGAAGTTAAAGAACTCAATGTCTGAAAATTAGATTGAATGTAAATCTAGAGCGTATATGGGTTTTTCAAAAATCTGTAGACATACTTTTTTTAAAAACCGCAAACCCCTCCACCCCGCCCCCCCCCCAAAAAAAAAGGAAAATTGTCGTTGTAAATTTCTTAGTTGCTATGTGTGAGTGAATCAACAGGTATGTGCGAAATAGTTTCAATATGTTGTTAATTACGATACAATATGAGAAACAAACTATTTAAGACGGACGATGATCAACCTACCCTGTAGGTATATTTTGTATAAAATACAATTTTAAGCATGTTATTGTTATTACAATGCTTTTACCGATATTTTATTTCTACCATCTACAGATTCGCATCGATCGCATTTATTATCACTTTCAGTTATCGTTATGATGATTTCCGTAGACCTGTGATTTCACGCGTCCCAATATTATGCTTCGTGTCTCCGCTATGCCCCGATCCCACTGTACTGTTTTTATTTTATTTATTCACTTAAGGTAAACCGTTTTTTTTTTATTTTTTACACAGGTACGGCCAGCTAAGCGGCATGGTGGAACCCATAGCCGGTATGCTGGGCATATTGGCCGTGTCCACGGTCCAACCGTTGTTGCCTTACGCCCTGGCATTCGCCGCGGGCGCTATGATCTACGTGGTCGTCAACGACATCATACCGGAGTCGAATTCCAGGTAAGTCGGCTTTTTCTTTTTTTACCATCTCCTCGGCACCTCTCGACCGTCGTCTGGCGGGCGGGTTTGCACCGTATGCGAGTCGACACACCCTCTCCATGCAAAAAGCGAGTGATAGTGTACAGCAGTTACAAAACTAGAAAATATCGTTCGTATTCTAAACGAAATAGTTATCACGTTATGATCAATCATATTATCATTATTTATGTGTATAATATATTTTATACTCTTCTGTTTTAACCCCCGGACACGTAGGTACGTTTTTCGCTACCCCGATGCCGCTGCCCGACTATTCGCCGTTGCATTGAATATCATATATTATATTATGTACGTACACGCATAATAATATTATTATTTATTGTACGTCTCTGACGGTTTCTCGCTCTCTGGGGGTCATATAACTGTAAAACTCTTGGTATGCAATCTCCGCCGTTGACGCCAGGAATGCAGTGTATACACACACACACACACACACATACTCATAATTCCTTTCGTCGTTAGCAGTGCACGCACTCGACAAACGGGGGCGAGCGGGTTTCCACGCGTGTGGCAGCCGCGACCTCTGCTGGCTACTACGGTTGTTTTTCGCGCACGAAGACCTGTCTGTGCTTCATGAATGGACCGCCGCCGTCACAACCAGATTATCGGGTTCGGACGCTTATTCAACCGTGTGGCCTTGTAACCGAAACACGGCGACAAAGTCGAGGCCGCGTTTGCGGCAGGGACCTCTAGCCCCCCCCCCCCATCCATCTTCGTTTTACCCTATCCGAACGCAGGGTAAAAAAAAAATAATAATATCCCGTTGGTGTTTGCGGTAAGGTCCACTCGCGAAAGCGGTCCCTTTCGGTATTGAAATTGTACAACAAAAAAAATATCGTTTCAATCATCCTGTTCCTTATCGCTTCAAATCCCCCAGAAAAACCGATGGTCGCCGTAAAAACGTTCCAATAAACACACTTAAGAGGACATCGCACTGGTGATTTTCAGTGGTAAAAACATGTTTGAGCAGACTGAAAATAACTCGCTTAATTTTAGGTTTAGAGTAAAAGCACCCATTATAAAATTAAAAAAGAACAAGACGGTGCGTTTTTTAAAAAAAATTCATTTTTTGAAAAATTACAGTCATTTAAAAATGTTAAAATAGTCGTTATTTCTAAACTATGTATTGAGCGCTATACTTAGAATAATGAAAAAACCCACCGTCTTGCTTTCCGAAATATTGTTCTCTTTTAATTTTATAATGGATGATTTTACTCTAAATCGAAATTAAGCGAGTTATTTTCAGTCTGCTTAAACAAGTAGAGATGAAAACACATGTTTAAATCGCTTTCAAGGATGCTGTGATCGTCTAAAAAATAAATTAACTACCAAAATAGAGTCTTAGTTATTGAACTAATAATTACACATTACAGTTTAACCTTTAAATTAAGATTTTGTAAAAAATTGCCTATACTTTACTCCTTAAAAATGGGCGGTGCGATGCCCTCTTAAAGCCAATTTCAGAAGAGTGAAGAGGTGTGTGATCATTTGCTATGAAAACTGTATTGGTAACTTGGTGGTTTCGGGAATGTAAAAATGGAATTTTAACGATACGGATCTACTGCCTTATTGTTGTGTACATTTTGGATAAAATTTTAAAGTACTGTGATGTGATGTGACTTTTTTAACAAGTCGGTTTTCACAAGAACACTGATAATACTGATATCACTGATAACACTCGTAATGTTATGGTAACTCGGGTAACTCGGTGGTGTTATGATTCGGGTTTGTTTTTCGAGAAAATATATATTTTGCCCGCCTTTCAAGCGTGTGTGACCACCTCTCTCTCGTCTAGTGCGACATTCCATTCGGATAGTGAGACGATAGGCCTTGTGTGTTACTACAATGTGCATTGTGGACTCGATATGGTGCCTTTTATAATAATATATGCTCTGTATTATATTTGTAGATTTTGCTCGGCAAAATTATTTAGTATGTGTAAAAAAAAACGTACAAGCCGGCGGCGCTTCCTCGGGTATTCGCACGGTGTTTGTTATAGTACTATGACGTCGTGATACAGTCATTGGTATTCGAGGCTTTTACAAACGCTACAAAATAATAATAATAATGAAAATAAAAAATAAACACATATTTTCTTTTTGTTGTTTATTCGTATTTTTGTATATTATTACAATAAACGACAACAGGCGTTTTGTACTCGACGCTTAAACGGTTCCATAACGTCGCGACACAGAGTCGTCGTTGTACACGGTGATAATAATAATAATAATAAAAAATATTATAATTTAATTTTTTTTTTCAATGTGTGTGTGTTTTTTTTTTGTTACAGCGGCAACGGGAAGCTGGCCAGTTGGTGTTGTATCGTGGGTTTCGTTGTGATGATGTCATTGGACGTGGGACTCGGTTGACTCGATTAGGTATTACCGTGTAAACTTTCCTTTGCATTTTTTCCTACAGAGTTGACCCAAATTTTGAAATTTTAGTTTGTTTTTTTTTTTTTGTAATATTAAATATCACCCACCTAAAATGATTTAACTCATGATTTATTTATCGTACCAAGTGTATTATTATTGACGATAATAATTTATGTATGAATACGTCGATTAAACACTGCGTTATTTAATTGATTTTTTTTTAACGTTTTAACACGAACGCGTACATTTAAAATGTATTCAAAGAAAAAACAATTATATTTTATAGTTATTTTGTTTCGGACTACTGCACCGACCGAACTCTCTCACACGTCATACTCGCGTGTATGTATAAAAATATTGGTAACATTACGATTAAGTCGACCGATGTTATTGATTCATGAATTTTCCATTGATAATTTATTATTATTGTAATAATACTCGGCTTGTGTGTGTACTGTGTTGGAGAGCGATAACGAGTCATTGATGAAAGCACGTGATCGTTTTAGTGTTCAGCTGTAAGCGACATTTTTAATTGTATTTCCGGTATGGTTTGCGAACGAGGAGACAGTTGTATGCCAGCAAAAGAAAAAAAAATATCCTTGAACTTTTTTTGAAGAGGGAGGGTAGTAGTAAACTAGACGAAAATGATCCCGATAGTATATGAAGGGCACAGGGGAAAAACGGTAGTTGTCACATTATGAAATTTTTTTTTTCAATTTATGCCAATAATATTTTTTGTTTATGTCAATAGATTGTTTAAATAAATACATTTATTGTTAGAGTAGCATTTAATGTGATTTTTTTTTGTTCTTATGTAAGAAGTAGAGGAATTCACGAACTTTGTTTTTGCTATACTCTAAAATTTTCATAATGTGACAACTACCGTTTTTCCCCTGTGCTCTTCATATACTTACATCCTTTTGGAATATTCAAACATTGTGGTGTTGCGGTGTATCATCAAATCGGAGACAACGTCGTTAAAATTGGACTTAAGTCGAGCTGATAAGTTTTCCGTCTCAATCGCGAAGCCGGTTTTAACCTACCAAGTGTACCATACCTACCGCAAGGTCATTAGTTTTATTTTGAAAATCCTAGCAAGGGACTAAATTACGGACCGCGGGCGCTTACCCTAACCAACCCTGTTAACACATTGAATTATGTAATATAGTACGCAGCCGTAGTATTGGGAACACACGTTGGCGCTTACATATTATAAGAAATGTACAAATATTATATATTATCATTATTATTGTGTATGTGTGTGTGTATCCGGTTGAGCGGCCAAAGAAAAAGGAGGAATATTATTATATTATGTGGATGAGATGTGTGTGTGTGTGTGTGTGTGTGTGTGTGTGTGTGTGTGTGCTATATAGAACACAGGAAGGCGGCTCGACCGGGTGAACGAACCCGCGTTTCCGGTGACGACTTTGCTGCCGCCACCGCTCAAACCGACGTCGGCGGCGGCGGCAGCAGCAGCAGCAACAGCAGCTGTTGTTTTTTTAAATGGCGAAGAAAAAAATTACTAGTCGCCGCCAGTTTTCTTTTTGCTTTTTTTTTTGCCTTCGTCTAAGATTACTGTATACGTATAGTACTAGTATTATATATATATATATACATATACAATAATTATTATACGATCCCGGTCGTCTTGACTGCTCGCACGACGATGACGTCGTGTCCCCTCGACCGAACATATTAGTATAATATTATAAGTTTATAGTACACATTGGCGGTGTACGGTATTTTTTAACTGGTATCCAGTGTGCACGAAAAACTAAAAAAAAACGGAAGTATATTCCAATTCGAATGGACAGTGGACGTAGACGGATAGGATGTGTAGATTAAACTGGACAGAAGAGGGGGTGGGCGAACTGCTCGTCATAACAATGTCTAAAGAGTTGTTTAATACATTACACAGTAACGATAGTAACCCGGATGTCCTTAATGTTAAGCATTTTCAAATGGGGAGAATTTCAAAGTTAGCATTTTTGTTACTGATTCACTTGCTCACTCACTTATCATTAAAATTATAAGGCACTTACTGTTTAGGTAGAAACGTGAAAATTGTCATAAAAGTATTTATTGTAGTGTAAGTAAAGGAAAAAATGTGAAAATTGCAATTTTTTCAAAATTAGTGCCGTTTTAAGAAAGTGCTAAATGCGTGAAGTTAAGCGTATGAATATTCATCTAATCGACAGATATATTAAGAGCAGATCTGATCACAATCTAGGCATTACTACTTTGATAGGCTGACTTTTTCGGGAGGTGGCCTGGAACTTGGCGCTTAGGTTTTTGTTGGGAATTATATTTTTTTAAAAATAAGGAAAATATTATAACAAGAACAACGATGCAAAACGAGAAAGGTACTACTACTAACACACAACACTATCTTTTGGGAACTTAAGCAGGAGTAAAGTTTACCTTCATATACATTTACCACACTCTAAAAAATTAATAGTCTTCTTCTCTTTCGGCTTATCCAGTACAACAGCTATGTGTTATCCGAATCCCTTGGCATTACATAAGTAAAGCAATTGAAAGTGTATTATTCGATTTCTGCAATATTTTTCTTTTCAAATAAATATCATCCAATAGATGTTGAAGGAGTTCTACTCTTATGTGGATGATATCGTCCTAAAAATGGGTATAATTTGTTTAACATAAAAATGTGTACGTATAAGACTCCTGAAAATTGTTGAACGTTCGTTTGGGTTCTTCTTTGGTAATACTTTCGATGTACAATAAAAAAAATTAAAATATAAGTTTTCTTCTCTAAAGTATTTTTAAAAGTCTAAAAATTAGACTAACGGTATACTTAGAATTTAGTTACCATAAAAAATAACATAGCATCTCTAGTCAATCTTTTTTTCTATAGATCATAGTGATTAATTTGTATAGCCTTTGATTTTTTGTTGACAGTATGTCATATTTGTACAATCTCTACACAAGATTCCTTTCATGAAACCGTTCATTAAAGATCATTTTTGCAAGCCATTTTTAGATAGTTTTTGTTAAAAAAAACGTTTGCATCGTAAACGCCCCCGCGATGGCCCGCCGTTACATACAACGCGGTTTCTTTTTTGACCTACTGCACAAAAAAAAATCGTCTCGGCATTCGTTCAATTGCTCTGGCGCCTGAGTGGGATTCTTTTTATCATTTAAATGTATTCATAATGATAATAATACTGTATACTCTACCGAAGGATAATGAGAGTGAATACGGGCGTAACATATAAATAACTCTGAGATAAGATGAGTGTTGAAGATTAAAAGTGCCGTAGCAATAATTATGGAATAGGATTTTCACAAATAATAATGTATTACATAGGGTGAAGATTTAGGGCAAGGGTATAGGCAAAGGAGTGGAATAATATCTTACATGGGGGCGGATGTGTTCTAGGACAACTAAAATAAAGAGACATATTGTGACTACAAATGGCTGTGTTTAAAGTTTAAAACCACACCTGATAGTATTTTATTTTGTATCTATTATTTGAAGCATTAATTTTATTTTTAAAAAACGCAATGCCATTCACATTCCTCAAGTGAAAAATTGAACACGTTCGCATTTACCATTCCAAAAGCATTCACGTTCATATTAAAAATTTCAAAACAAAATGCATTCAATCAAAAACACTGTTTTTAGATTTTTTTTAAATGTTAGTTGTAATATTATTTTATTACAATAAAATGTTTCCACGCATACATATTATATAAATTGTACATGTTTATAAAAACCACGTTTAAAATACACCATTATTATCTTTTAACTTTGGCGCAACAAAGTGATTATAATTTTTTTAAACATATATATTTTTTTTTTTTTAATAGCTTGATTGTGCATTATGAAATGACATTCGTTATTAAAATATTCACATTCACATTTCACTCATAATGTGAATGAATGTATTCATATTTCACTCACAATGTGAATGGATCCACATTCACCGTTCGCTTGAGTTTAATATGTTACATTCTTAGAAATGCACTCTTTCCAAACGCTGTTCGCGTTTAACCTTTTACTCGGCGGCTTCTAAAACACCTTGTAAATATTTAAAAATATAATCCAGTGTAATACATGTTATTTACCAACATTTGTTGGTTTTTTTTCCTATAAAAACAAAACCCTGCAATAACGTTTGCTCCGTTCGCTTACAAATAACCCTCATCAACCCTATATACAAATATATAAGTATATTTTTTTAATTCAATAGGTTTTGTAAAGCCCACCCCTAGTGCTCGACGATGATCCTCCGCCTTTTTGGGATTGAAAGATAAATGGATACGGTTTCGAATTAACATGTAATATGGTTAAGCCAAGAGTTGGATTTTGTGTACATTCATTTTGCCAATTTTCTTACGCTTTCTTCTAGAGTGTGGGCGTTGTCGTTTTGCATAATTTCAGATGAGTCACGAGCGCACTCCAAAATCAACCATGATAAGAAACCCTATAGCAAAAAAAAAATTGATAAATAGTTTACATATGCCGTATTTAACTGTATTATGGCATCGTTATAATTATGTAGGTAGAAACGAAAAAAAATATATATATATTTATTTAAATAATATGAATTATATTAGAGGAAAAAGTCCATTCGAATAGTTTTTCTTATTATTTTTTTTTCTCTATTTTGTACCTTTTACCTTAACCTTTGCCTCGGCCGATAACATTCGGCCCCTGAAAATTACATTACATGTTACACTCTTATTTTGATTCGTTCGTGTTTACTTGTAACATTTTATTGAATGAACTGCGTACATAAAAATCAGTTGTTGATCCGTACAATATTTTAAGTATAATATAGTAATACAATGATGATGATTTTGCATCAATTATTAAGTGTCCGAAAAAACCCGTATGTATGTTGTGCGTTGGTGTCGTATCGATCGTTGTGCTGCTGTTTTATTAATACACACATGTTATTAATGCAACACCTAATTGAATTGATAACCCAGATTATTTTAATTACCAAGAAACCCAATAAAATATATACAGGATGGTGCATTATTCTTATCTGGCACGACTTTTTCGTTTTGGAATGCTTTAGGAATTTTTAAAAGTTTAATTGAAAACCCGCCTGCCGCGTTTATTTTTATACTCGTGCTTACTAAAAGAAAAAACGACTAGATTTTTGAATTGGTTACTTCCCAAAGGTACCAGCGTTTGGTATTATGGGCGAGAGGAGAGGTG